TAACGAAATCTCATCATCACATGGATTTGGTCGAATGGATGTCTTCCCTCTCTCCACTTGCCCTTTGGGTACTGTGCATTCACATGGAGTGGAATAATCACACGTTGTAAGTTTTGTTTCATGGTGTGAAAGATTAGAACGTCCTATTAACATTGGAAGATCCAAGGTTCGAATCTTGACAACATCATGGTTGATTTATTACGGTTCCTGTCCGAAATACATAGCATTTTTTACAGCGTGATGTGATTGTTGGTATGCATCCAGGGAAAACATATCAAATAATCACTCATTACTTTAAATAAAACAGAAATACAAATGGACCTTTTTTCCTACTTCGGCATAATGCTATGGTTCTAAATTATTTCTATCATTAAGAATCGAAAATGCACTAAACCCTGCATGGTAACGCCTTCCCTCTGAGCACCATGAAGGATTTTATCCGGTCATCATTACCTCGTAATTTAAGATATTTTCGCTTTCTTACATTGTTTAATAATATAAATGTAAGTTTATGAAAGTAGAGATTAAAATAATAAACTAAAATAGTAATTAAGTAAATATACAAATTTAGCTAATAAAGGCTCCCTAAATACATGTTTTTATGACAAATCCAAAACCACGGCCGCTCAGAGGTTTGACAGCCCTGACAAGTGTTTCTGAGAGCACAAACAAACATCGGTGTTGAACGTTTGGGTTATTTGATTAAGGCAAAGCAGACGAGGGCTATCTGCCTAAGGGAAGAGATGCCTTTGTGGAGGACTTTCTAAGGGAAACTGGCACATGCAAGTTATACACGGTGAAAACCACGAAAACCCCCATGCAGCCAGCCCGTTCGCTGTGCTGGAGCCTCGGATCGAACTACCAGTGTTCAGCTCGGCCGCTAGTCGGCCCATCTTGCTAGGACAACCATCTCCACTGAATATCAAAATCTTTTGAAACTATGGGTATCATATGACAGAGGATTAAGTATATATGTTACCGTGAAAGACCGAAATTGGAGAATGTCGACTTTCACTGGAGAATGTAAACATTCACCAAATACGTAGGTGAAAGATCGAATATTTCTTTACATTCTTGTACGTTCGGACCGTCACCGGTGTATGTCGACAATCACAGATATGCTCTGTAGGTCGAAATGAGAGGAGTATATGTACACGCTGCCATTCCAAAAGGAAGTGTTCCACAAATAAATGCAGTTGTAAAAGCAAGGTTCTCTTGTGCAATTCAAAGTGTCATAATAGTTTAAGTTGTTGCAATAAATAAGATTTGAATCACATAATTTGGTAAGTTTATAACTTCTATTATTTTCCTTTCTCATTTTGAATGTACTGTGTGTTTTAAGTTCTTATATTCTTAAGTTCTTATTCTGAGTTTCAAGTGCGTTTATTCGCGAATGAGTTAAGGAGAAGGAAATATAATATTCTTATATGTTCAACATTCACCATTAGTACATGGTGAATGTCGAGATTCACCGGTGTAAGTCAGAAATAAGAGTATTTGGAAAATATTTCGTACATACACCAAGCGACTACACTGGTGTGCAAAAATTAAGGTCGAAGTCGAAAAATTAGCATATCAGCTGAACGAAGAGGCAGAGCGGACAGAAAGACCAATCAGGAGATTAAGTAAGGTGATGTACGGTAGCACATGCGTATATATGCAGGTAGACGTAATGGGGGAGTGTCTGAGTAGTATAAAGCATGTTGTCGGTGTAAGATCAGTATTTCTGGCAAGAGATTGCACGCCGTATAGCAGTTAAAATCACACCGAGTTGCTGCCTCAGCGAGAAATGGCGAATAATCAATCTGTTAGACGACATCTGGATGCTTTTACCCGAGGTCGAATCATTGGGAAGTTGGAGGAAGGCCGCAGTGTGACATGTGTGGCTGCAGAGTTCGGAATTGCTCACAGCATCGTTTCACGACTTTGGAGACAATTTCAAACTACAGGAACAGCTATCCGGGGGTTTAGTAGTGGTCGTCCACGAGGAACCACACCTGCAGATGACCGGTATATTGCCTTATAGGCCAGAAGAAACAGGCGGCAGACAGCGGGAGAAATCGCTAGACACACGACGCAGGCGACTGGACGACCGATATCGCGTTTTACCGTGGCCAGAAGACTGCACGGTGGTGGTCTGTTTGCACGACGCCCTGTAGGGTGTGTACGTCTAACGCCTGCCCATCGGAGAAGGCGTTCTCTGTGGTGCCGGGAACACCGGAATTGGAGAGACAATGAATGGGGACGAGTACTCTTTACAGATGAGAGCAGATTCAGTCTGAGTAGCGATTCTCATCGCATACTCATCTGGAGAGAGCGGGAAAGCCGCAATCATCCCTCGAACATCATTGAAAGGGACAGGTATGGATTGGCGGTGTTCTCATTTGGGGAGGCATCATGCTTGGTAGTCGTACAGACCTTCACATCTTAGACGCAGGTTCAGTCAACGGGACCCGTTATTGTAACGAGATTCTTCTTCCATATGTGCGTCTTTTTAGAGGCGCTCTGGGTTCGCAGTTCCTTTTCATGGACGACAATGCACCATGTCATCTCACAGTAGCTACCGAACAGCTCTTAGAGAGTGAGGATATTGAACGTATGGATTGGCCGGCACGATCTCCGGATTTCAATCCCATCGAGCATGTATGGGATTTTCTAGGCAGACGCTTGGCAGCTCGTACCTTACCACCAGTAACGATTCCGGAGCTTCGATTGGCGCTGCAAGACGAATGGGCAGCAATGCCTCAACAACTCATTGACACCCTCATTCTCAGCATGGGCAGACGCTGTGAAACCTGCCTAGCAGTCATATCCCCTATAAAAGACCGGATGGTTCTTGCTGGACACCCATCACAGGGATGTTTCGGCCTTCAGTCGCATTGCGCTCCATGCTACTTTTTCAATAAAGCTTCTTTTTATCCCTCTGATTTCTCTTTTAGTAAGTGTTGCTTACATTACTCATGTCCTTACGTATTGGGGATCTTACGGTATTAAATGTGTTGATTTGGAAAGCTTTTGTACAAAATTATATTGAAAAAACCGTCTCGTCCTTAATTTTTGCACACCAGTGTATGTGAATGTTGACATTCACCGGTGAAAGTCGACATTCTCCAGATTTCGGTGTTTCACCGTAACATATATACCACGAAGGGTATGAATTAAAATATTTTCAGAAAGTGCCCGTCGCTATTTGCTTTGATAAATAGGATTCTGTTGTATGATGTATAATTTGCTAAGTTAAGATCTAAATTGCACTCAAAACAGATGCTCACAATGCACATTGCTGTTGTAACGTAGTAAGTACCTATTTTGAATAACATTCTTTCAAAATATAGGATCCTAATGAAATTTATTTTAGTGTTATGAACACAGAGAATATTAATATTTTGTAATTTTTCATAAATTATATAAAAATATAATACAAAGTAAGTTTCTTTCATATATATAAATAATACTGAATTAAATGAATGCAAACTAACTGCAGGTCACTGAATTAAATAAATGCAATACTTAACTGAATCAAACTGATCACTGAGTTAGTTAAATGCCACAATATTGAATTAAGTAAATGCACCTTATGAGTAACCTTATGCAGTCATTGCAAAATTACTCATAAATTAACTTCCTACTTACTATTATATACCTACATTAGTATAAGAAAATCGTTAAGAACATATTTAATGTTGGCAATTCCGTTGAAATCTCTTATAGCGACCGCCGCTTAAAAAGACCAATATTTCTATGAATGTAAATTAGCATCGACGGCCAATATACCTCTATAAGACAACTTCCTCGACAGAAGAACAAACTGCTTGGAAACCCGAATGATTGTCTAAGAGATTGCATTTTTATTTAATTATTAAAATAAATCCTAAAATTCCGATTTGTATGAAAACTTAACAATTTTAATTTTCAAATATTCATTAAAATTTATTTCGATTTGAAATAAGCTACTAGTTTTCGTTTCTTACTTTAAAATCGAATGTGAAAAGAAGCACCTATTTTTTAAGGATTTCATTAATAGAATATAAATAAAAAATTAAAAAAAAAAAAAAAAAGGAAAATCTGAAATGTTTCAGATTTTAAATTACGTCCAAAGGGGAGATTTTTAACATTTCTTGTGTTACATTCATTTATTAAATATCATGTTCTTCCCACTTAACATAAAATTCAGTTCAACAGCAACATTGCAAAATAGTTTTAAAATGAGCATATGTTTAGAATTTCCGATAAAGAGACTCGCGCGCTGGAGATAAAAATGTTTTTCCTGTACAACGTTGCTATGGCTCGCTTTGACATCCTTGAGTTTGTTAATTAAAAATTCGTTAAAGTTTTACAAAATATGAAATCGATAATAAAGCAAATTCCAAATTTCAAATTTTGTCTTCCACATGCCCCTATTCGTAGGAGGATTACGTCATTCAAAATTTGATGGCTCTGTGTACAGTTTTTTATCACAATGCGAGAAATATACATACATATATTTATGCTGGTGTTTCATTATTTAATTTCATTAAATATAACGCAGGGCGGTAATACTTTGTGGCAACAGTTTGAAAAGTGATTCGTCGTTTGTAGTGAATCGACGCAAAATCGCAAAACGAAAACAATAGTCCTTCAGGGACAAAGCTCCTTTGGACTAACAATAATTATATGAGTCCCAAAAAGTGAAATAAAGTCTTTTTATCTTGATAAATAAATAGTTATCTTTTGAAGAAGAAATACTTCTGTGGGTAAGATTTATTTTATCTAAGAAATATTTATTAAATTACATACGGTAAATCACAAACAATATTCATCAGCTCATAGTATATTTTTATCCAGCCTAACTTTGAAATTTCATACTAAAAATGTTTTAAACCGAAATTTATAGTTTTTTACGCGTCATCTAATTTGTATTGTTTTCAGGTATAAAAAAATTATATTCTTCTAATACTCCAGCATATAAATTGTCTTAATCCGTTTTTGTTGCATTTTTTTCTTTTTTCTTCTTTTTTTAGGTATATCTAATATTGATAATCACTACTGTATCTGGAAGTATCACTTATCCACATTTGTTCTACGGTGGCTACAGCTATGGGTTTCCATCCTATGAAGCTCAGAAACATTTCAACAAAGCAAAGTACGAAGCACGAAAAGCTCATGATCTTGCAAAACTACGTGCTGGTATATATGGTCTAGGTGGCGGATTGTATGGATATAGATATGGAAGCCCTTTTTCCAAACCCATATTACCATTATCTCTGGAGCTATCAATTCCTCACATAAGTAGTTTTCCATCAATATATGGCCATAAATATTTTCCAAATTTTCATCTTGGTTTAAGTCACACTATAGGAAAATATCCTCTAATGTACTTCCATTCCCTTCCATTGGAGTCTTCAAAGCACTTGCATTCTCAAAATTTTGAATATGGTAAACATTATACTTATACACACTCAAGCTTTGGATATCCTTCATTGTTGATATACTCCTCGGGAATATCAAGTTCATATTTCTTTCCCTCTACAACATTCAAAGGAAAATCTTCACATGGACATATTGAGGCTACTCTACCCATAAAGTACCACAGTTTGAAACAACCTATTTTTCTAAAAGAACCAGCTGTCTTTGGAATTACTCACTCTACTTTCCATTTTCCTAAAGATGATATTATTTACGGAATAAGATACAAAAATTTTGTAAAATCTCCAGTGACCAATAAGGTATCAAAGAGTGCAGTGTATACTCATGGTATTCCAGGAGAAGGCTTTGTACTGTATAAGTCTGACGATTCGCATAAACCACATATGGATTCAACCTTCATAAAGAATATACACGCCGGTGATATCCATCATAGTTTACCAATCCTTGACTCAAGAACTGTTGAATACAAAGATTTAGGCCATGCATCTCCAGGAATAATTATTGGTGAAATACATGCCGATGATCTTGATTTACTTGCATTCGGATCAGGCATAAAGCAAACTGAAAAACTAATTTAGGGCTGGGCTTAAAAAGCACGTTTACATCAATTGCATGAATAAGTTTTGGATTATTATATAATTGCTGTATAAATAAATGTAAATATAAGCACCTGCTAGTTTAATTCTAGACAAACTTCAGCGTAAATACTGGTACTTAAATGCCTAATTCGAATAAATATTAGAAATAGAAATCTTCGTGAATATGTGCAGCAGTATTATTAATAATATATGATTTCTATAGTAGCAGTAACGAAGACAATTATTTAAGAAGAGTGTGAAAATATAACACAAATTAAAACTGACGAAACTAATAACAGAATACAATAATTTTGATATGAATTTATGTAATATGAACTTGTGTAATCTATAATATTGTATAATAATATATCAGTTAATATATTTTAGACATACTGGGTAATCAGCAAATTAGGAGCATGCCATTTTAGGATCTATGAAACTTGTTAAGTAAGGATTCATAAAAGTATTAATATAACTAAAGGTACTATTATATCGCTTAGGATATGGACTGAGTTTATATCAGTACATTATATTAAGTATTTTATTTTACAATAAATTGCATGTATTGGGAACCGCAATCTTTTAATCGCTCTAAAATGTGAAAGAATATGGTTAGAGCCCCTTATATAAGAACTATGATTACATGTGCACATGTTCCCATACACACACACATATATATATACATACACATACATATATACATACATACACACACCATATATACATACATACACACATATGTATATATATATATTGCCTAGACAATGAAAAGCTGCTGTTAATAACTGCTTAAACAATAAGAAGTGCTTGGATTCTAAAAAGAGACTGAACAAAAATAAGCAACATTATTCTGTCAATCCCCTCTGTGTACATGGAATTTTTACATTGCAGTATGTAGTAGATTGTTTTTAGCCTTTTAGGATATTGTTCATTAATATTACTTTTATAGTTGAGGATAAAGTGTATCCTTTTTCCTGAGGGTAAAGGTGTAATAGTCTCAACTCATAATCTTTATAATCTTTGGTAAATGAAGTTCTTCAAAGAAAAAACTTAAATTTCTCATCTTTCGTCATCTAATTTAGTATCCCAAATTTGTTAGAAAAAACACAGAAAACTCGGTTTTCCTAATATATGATAGGCTGCGATGCCAGAGAGTGACACCAAACACTTGGAATGACAAGTAGAGCGCTAGATACTTTGAGGTTTAAATATTCATTAGGAAAATTTTTGTAATATTTTTAATTATTTTTGAATGTGTTTCTTTTGAAAGATCTTAAAATTTATCTTACCATAAAAGTCTTGCTGACTAAACTATACTTTCTCAAGCGGCTTTCAGAATTTAATTGAAACTTTTGCTTACCTTTGACTCGACTAATAGAACCGCTATAACCCCTCGTAAATTCGAATTTTTCTAATTATTAAAAGTTTGAATTTTCCACACTAAAACGTCACGCTGACAGAACTATATTTCCTTCAAGCAGTTCAGGATAAATGAAATTTTTTGTTTATGATTATCTCCAACTTAATTAGAAGCACCTAAAACAATTTATGTTAAGGCTTTCTGTGCTTAAGGTTATCACTGAATTAAAATTCTATTAACCAGTAAAAGTGTAAATATGTTTTACTATAGAGAGCATGATGGCTAAATTGTACTTCTTTAAGCACCATCCAGAATTAAGTGAAAACGCTTGGCTTCTAATTATCATTGACTGAATAGTAGACAGTATTCAAGCAAAATGTTTATAAGATATTACCTTCTTCCTTTCTGCATGTCTTCATGGTATAACAATAGCACACTCGGCGCGTATTCGAGAGGTTCAGGTTCAAGTCCAGGCGAGGGCATTGCTTATTTTTCATGTGCTCCTACTTCCAAAAAATCTAATGACTCTATAAATGAGTCAATATATAGTACTTAAAGCTCTCATTGAATTCAAATTTTACTACTAGTACTTTTTACTATCTTAAAATAATCGTTTATGGGTTAATTAATTTATCTTACCAAAAGGATTATAGTTACAATGCCTTCAAAGCATAGCTAGTAGTCTTAGTCATTCATCACAAGAGCAAAATCATTTGTAAATACAGTAGTTAAAATTATTCTTCCTCTATCCTTCTTATCAGATCCGGAATTTTGTATTTTCTGATTATAACTGAGTTGAAAAACGGGATGTGACTCGGAAGACAAAGCTCACATTTTTCTTTATTTTCATGTTAAGCATTAAATCTGTTTATTCTTCAGTTTGTCACTGTTGTTGCAACCTTAAGAATTTCGTATTGCTTATGTAATTTCAATGTGTTATTACGTTCAATGGGTTATTAAGAGTATAAAGTTTTAGCATAGCCAAAATATTTAAATAATACAAGCCACAGTTAAACAATTGATTTAGTGTATCAGGGAGAAATATAAGCCTCTTCAAAAGAATAGAGATGAAAGTAACATGCATATTGCTTCCATACTTATTCCCTTAATAAAACAAATTTCGCAAGTTAGTTCAAACTTTAATTCACTTAAATAAAAGCAGATTTCCATGTAGCAAGCATCGTAAGCTCAGTGCTCTTTGCTACCCATAAAGGAACATGCAAAGAGTGTTAACTTAGTAATAAACTGAATAACTCTATTAACAGTACTGATTAAAGAAAATTGACGACTAGATACAATTTTTGATTTTTCAGTTGTGACTTTATTTTATTGTAGAGTTATTCTGAGTAAAAAAGAATTGGTATTATTCCCACTCCATGAAAAATGCACACTAATAAAATTCAAGAAATGTGTACTAAAATTTTTTATGGAAAAATTTAGAATTAGGTCTTTTTTTATTTCTACCTAACCCCTTTCCCTCAATGGTTAAAAATGCAAACAATAATAATCTGCACACTGGGTAACCAGCCATTGAACTGTGATGAACTCACATTTCAAGTAACGAGTTTAATTAGTAAAGGGTACTTAAAGCATGTCAAGAGAAACCAAACAAGCACTTGTCACTGTCAGTTTAAAGCAGGAAACATTTGATAAATACGTATTAATTTTCACTAGTGAAAACTAAATTAAAAATGAAAGACTGGAATCAAAATGTATTTAGACAAACTCAGATGATACTCAATGCAAAATTAAATAAATAAATAAATAATTTTTTTGTTTAAATAATAAAGTTAGTGGATTTAATGATTTAAAACTACTTGAATAAATATTTAAAATATCTTGCAATAACTGAACTATATAAACATGACATAATGGTTAGAAAAAATAAAATTTCGGTACTTTTCCGTTTTGCCGGCGCAAGCGATAAAGTCGCTAATAATGGTGCAACCGATGCCAAACGGAATATTCTCGCTGGTAACCTTTACGCCTCATTTTCAAAACAAGTCGCAGCTTTTTCTTATCAGATTGATTGTTTCTTTCAATACTGACATATAATTACATAGAATTTTTATCAGATAGTTTAGTTTTATGTCCAAGGCCATTTTCGGTAATTAAGTCAATTAGGATGCAATCACAGCGCTTACCCGAAGCCGAAAATATAGAAAAGGTAAAGTCAAGAGTTAAATTCATCAATTCTAATATGAATGACTTAGCGAAGTAAAGTACTGCAGTTTTACATAATTTCTGAGTAAGCTATTCGTACGAATTAAAATATTTCTTGCATTTAAACTTGTGTTCCAAATTAAGATTTAACTTGAAACTAATGTAGATAATTACTGAGAGCATTAGATTTTTGTAGAGAGTAGTTTACGTGATATGAGATCGCTTGGGGTTACGTGATATGAACCGGCGAATCAGGATGCTGAACCATGAAAGCGTAGTAAATTCCTAAATTAATGTCTTTTTACAAATTTATTGTCTTTATTTATCGGTTTTTTATAAAATTTTAAGCGATATTAAAATGTTTATGCCTTTAAAAAAAGAATTCTTAAAACTAAAATTTTTTTAAATATTTTTTATGTGTATACTGTATGTTGTCACCAATAAAGTCTGCTTGGCGAGATTTGCGCCGGCGAAACGGAAAAGTACCAAAATTTCTTAATAAAATAAATAATAAAAATTAATAAAATTTTACTCTAAAATAATAAAAATGCTTAATAAAAAATTTTTAAATAGTTTTTAAATTTTAGAAAACTAAAAAGAAATATTTGGAATAAGGTAAATAAATTACAATGCTAATATTTATACATTGAAAATGAGTTGGGATTCTGCAACATATATTTGATATTTCTTGACTAAGTTTTTGCAATTACGTATGAAGCAGATTTTGTAACTTAATTTTAAACTGCTGTTGCCATATTTATTATTTAGTTCTAAGCACGCAAATTTTAAGAAAGGATATTAAGTTTTCAATGTGAATTTAAATATTATGTCAGAAATGTTGTGTTATTGTCCATGATTATAAACCCAATTATAGATACATATATATAACATTTTTAACATATTTCTTACAAAAAAAACCTTTTTTAACGTATTTGAGTCATTTTTACAGATAACATAAAATATATTTATGCATATGCGCTTTTCATCCATAAAAAATTACAAAAAAAACTGTCTCTTGTTAGACACATCTGCTTTAATAATTTGGGTCTTAATTTATGCGGCAATATGCTATGATCTAATTTTAAGTGGCTAAATATAAAAAATTATACATCAATTTGATTAATAAAAATTTCAGTTACAATCCTATGTAATAAAGGTAATAAAATTTCAAATATAAAGCGTCATGAAGTGAATGCAGATTATTATCAACTAAATATTGCTCATTTCCATGCGTATCATTCCGCCTTTCTCATGAAATATGAATTTATCATTTGCGGTCACACAAAATGCTTATTTAGTTTTACCCTTTTACGCAGACTGAGATGATTGACAGCTTTTGTTTCAGCTATCCATAGTTACAGAAAGCAAGACAGCTGTTGAATTTGTTTCATGTATTTTCCCCAACTATTTTTATTTGTTTTATTCTATTATTGTTCAAACTAACACAATAAGACGTCATTTAACACAGGCAACTTTCGAATTAAAAATTTGATTATGAACTATGTATTCATTATCATTGCTCATGATTTATGTTATTTAAATGCTTATATTTCTGAATTTTAGTATGGAAAATCTTTATATGAAAGTATATTTCCTGTGATTCTTTTCTTGTCTAACTAATACAAATTTAAAAATCGTATTATCATACAAAATAGGACTCTGTATTAATTTCATTTTGAAGCAAAACAAAATAAATGTTTTGTTTATCTTTCTTCGTGTGTCTTGTGTGCGTAACTCTTGCGTAACATTTGATATCAATATATATATTCATATTACAGATATAAAATTGCGTTAATATACGTTAATATATAATACTGAACGAAATAAAATGAATATTTTACCATTTATGTTGATATTTAGTCTTAAATAACGGACATTCTATAGCTTTAAGCGAGGAGCTCAGAAGTCGAGTCTGTCTGGGTACAGGTCCTAGCCAGAATGCCACACTCTCCAAGGCGATTTATTTCATAAGAACAAACACTGCAAGACAGGAAGAAGTGAATGGAACACCAGAACTTCACCGCTGGGGGAAGGTGTACAAATATAGGACCATCGCAATAACTATACAGCACTTTTGATGGACAGCATCCCCGAGGGCACATCCCAGATTCTTCCGCTCATCTTCCTCAATCGCCAAACTATCCTAGAAGATTTTCAACCCGCCAGTATTTTAAGTGCCTCTATGCCGTGCTTTATAAGTATTTTACACTTATGAACATCCATGCCCTCACCATGATTTGATCCTTGGCCCATTGTTACGGTGGCATTAGAGCATTGCGCTTATATAAAAATTACTGTGTATTTCCAAATAAAAGCCGATCGGCGCATACTTCGAAAAATAGTTTTCAGCCAAGATTTAGCTGAAATTAAAAACCCGTGTACAAGCCGAATTCAAAACTTCCAAATAAATCCGGCCTGTTCTCCCATTTAGAAAAACTAGTCACTTGGCTAGAGTAGATCTAGCAGATGAACTGAAGGTGACCACCAAGTCCTCATCCGTTCAAAAAATAGGCGAGGTAAGGTTATTAAAAAATATTGCATGATATGAACGGAAATACTATAAACGGAACGAAACTGATCGTCCCTATTAGAAGGATAATTGCGATGTTAATGGTGAAATGCAGAACTACGTCATTTAGCCGGATTTTGACTGTGAGAGAAACTTTTAAGAATTTCCAGAAAATTCCGAGTAGCATACTGGTATTGAGGAATTTCATTAACGTACATTAATTTAAATTAAATAATACAAAAAATATCTTTACATTTAATTTCAGTTACTTTAATGGCTAATATTTTCTCAACTATTTGTTTTTGAGACTTGATTATTTGCAAATCTGTTTGAATGCGTATGTAAACCGAGTTCAGTTGCAAAATATTTGCTTAAAGTTCTCTGCTTACACACGGAAATAATAGACATAGTCTTTTCCCATCAGCATTGTGGATGAGAATGCCAAAGAACTGTTACCGTCAGAAAGTTCAGAACCGTCAGTTTGGAAAAATAAATCTCGTCAAAAAATGCTAAGCGTTTCTACACATGAACTTAGTTAACGTACCTTTTAAATCTCGATGTTTAAAAAGAAAAAAAAAAAAACTAAAATAACTCATCAGATTGGTCGTATCGATGTATTTGCTTGGTTTTAGATTTACGAAACCAACTCAAGGATTATCTTGTAGGCAATTCTTAAGTAAAGAATGAAATCGTGGAGAGTAAATTCAGGATTTTTGCCAGTCTGCAGCCAGGCAATATTTCACTCGTAGCCGGATCTAATTAATGCGTTAGCTTATAAAGCCTGGGTTTAGGCTTTCAGATGTTAGGAGGCTCTCGGATTGTCCTGTAAATTCTCACAACCCTGTTTTCTATCCCCAAATCAAAGAACATGACTATTGGAACCTCCTTGAAGAATGCTATGCTTACAGCGCTGCCTGTTTGCCCTTCTGATTGTCTTAATTCAACCATATCAATTTCCATAAACCAAACATGGTTCGATTTCCTTAATCGGACATCAGGCAACGTTGATGGCTGCTCCTAAGCTTCTAATACTACAGCTGTTGGAAAAAAACTGTTATTAGAGTACTTAGAAAATTGGATAGAGTACCGAAAGTGAGTTTTCAGAAAACTTCTAATGATAACATCAAATTGATGAAAAACCACTAAATATCGCCAAGGTACAGTTTTTAAAGGCACATATCTTGGGTTCTTCTTGAGCTATGTTCTTAGTTCTATCGTCTACTTATATAAAATTAACGTTATAAATACTGCAATCAAGTAATTAAATGTACATAACCACAGAAATTACCAATAAATTAAAAATTATGTCAAAATACCCAGTGAAAAAATCTAATAAAGAATAAATAGTTAAAACAAATACGAAACAATTTAAACTATTGTCGAACTAAATACACAAATGTTAACAAGTAAATACAAATATTTATAAAAAAAGTTTTCGAAGATATTTCAAGTACACAAAGAACTGAAACATTACATTGCAAATACTGTATTGTTGGTACAAATACTACGCTTTGAAAATCTGTAAGTATTTCACGGAGATTTAATGAGTCCATTAGTTTATTCTTTCCTATTTCTTCTTATCTCTTTGTCTGTCGCACCAGTAGACAATCATTTAATAACAAAAATTGTTCAGTGTACTGTTCTTTGTTAGAATTATGACAGGTATTTGTGCGATTAGTGTATGCATAATGTAGAATACTTTTTGACTTTTTTTTTTTTTTTTTTTTTTTTGTGTGTGTGTGTGCGGAATGAAAATCTGTAAATATTTCATAATGAGCCCATTAGTTTTTTCTTAATGGACCCATTAATTTTTTCTTTCCCCCTTTTTTTATCTCGTTGTTTATCCCATCAGTATACAAACATTTAGGAACAAAAATTGATCATACTCAGTGAAATGTAAGCTACTTTTTTAGAATTCTAACAGGTATTTCTGTGATGAATGTATGCGTAATGCGTAATAATTTTGTACTTATTTTTTCTGCATGAAATATCTCATAATAACTACTGTACTGATTTTATATACAGTTTTCCTTGTATTGGGTACTTTGTAAATATAATAGGAACCTAAAGATGATTTAAAGTACAGGTACAAGTAGAAGTCAACGAGACAACAGAAATTCACCATTTATAGTACTAGTCTCGCAGCACTAAATGCACCTCGTCAGGGGCACAAAGATCTCCCCCTCTTTCCTACCAGTAACCTCTCGAGAGAACTTTAGGCTAGCGGTATGTGCCCCCCTTGTCGCACAGACACTATACTCTTTTAAGGGGACTCATACACCTTAAAACCCCTAAAATCTTCGAATATGTGGCTGTTGCA